CAACAACAACAACAACAACAAGTACTACTACTACTACTCCTACTCCTGCTACTACTACTACTACCACTACCACTACTACTACTACTACTACTACTACTACTACTACTGCTACTGCTACTGCAACTGCTACTGCTACTGCAACTGCTACTACTGCTGCTACTACTACTACTACTACTACTTCTACTTCTATTACTGCTACTGCTACTGCTACTGCTACTGCAACTACTACTACTACTACTACTACTACTACTACAGGCCTACTGCTTGGGGGGACTCGCAGTGGCAGAGTGACATACATAGTGCCTCACAAAAAGCAACTGCAACTTTTGATTTGGCCGATAGTTAGTCAAAATCGGGCCATGTTTGCTCTATGCTGCACGGCCATACCAGCAACATCAGCATCACCGAAATCAGAACGACGCCAACAGTACCCATGAACCACAAAAACACAGAGCCAACAAACATGTCAAGTTGTAGGGAAAGCGGTGAACACGAACTCTGCCCGCAAAACTGTTGATATGCACAGACAGACCGAAGGACCGGAAGAGTCATTCCTAGTGTCGCGAATACTCGGAATGACCTCAAGGTGCACACTAGATTACATGAACAACAGAAAAACACGGACGTTGTGAAAGCCACTTGTCCACACAATGGCACGGCCAATCACAATCACCGCCACCAAACACAATCGAGATGGTCAAGATGAGCAATAAGATTCGCTTTGATGGTGAGAAAGCGGCAGCCTCGTTGACAACATCATAACGACTCACATACTGCCCGTGGCAATAAGCATGACGGTAGGGTCGATCTCAAGTTCTTCCAGACAATCCGGCTTCAACGAAGCGGTGTTAGACCCTAATCAGCCTAGCAGCTTCACTGACTCGTTCGTGATTTTACCTCTACTGATAGTGTGCTTACCAAATGCCCTGATCCCTAAGGTGCACGAGTTCGGCCGTCCTCTCGTAAAACGTACACTCGCAGCGTAGGCCGAGCAAGTCGAAACGGAATACTCTGCAGCCGTCCACCCAGCTCTTCTGCCAGCAGGGAGATCTTCCCTCGTGTCTTCACCGATATAGGGGCATTAGTCAGAAGAGGCAGAAGAGGGAGCTTGACCCGAAGCTATGGTAATTGTGGTATATCCCTTATTATGGGTAATGCAGGATTTATACCATCAGCCGTAGGAACTAGGACTCATAGGGCCTCTAAATATAAACCCTCAGCTTCAAGGCGCCTGGCTCAGGAGACCCCCGAAACCAAAAGGTGCCGGTACTGCTGGGGACCAAGCCTAAAGGAAGTACACCCCCCCCCCTCAATGTGCGAACCCCTAGAAGGATGCTTCAGAAAAGAAGGGGACCCATTATACTGAACCCTAACCCTGAGGCTCAAAATAGCCTAAAAGCCTTATATAGTATGGTCTTTGGGCCCATATGAGTCCTTCGAGCCTTAAGGTAAAGAACAAGTGAGACCTGGTTGTCTGAACGCGCCCTGAGCTGTTTTGAGCAAGTCTCCCGAGCTGTCATGCCAAGGAGGCCAGATGTCAAACCCAGAAAAAGATACCTTGCCGGGGTTCGGGGTTACCTTAAACAAACCCTAAACCCTAAACCAATAAGGGTTTAGGTGTTTTGGGTTTAGATTTAGGGGTTAGGATTCAAAGTTTAGGGCTCACAAGGGTGTGAAGGTTGAGGGATCAGGGGTTTAGGGTTACATATTCAACTATATATAGATCTAGGGGGTTATGCACCAATTGGGTGCCAAGGTTTAGAGGGTCAAGTGTGTTTTGAACTACGGTCTGAGCGGGTGGAGGCATGCCAGGCTCAAGGGTTATATGGGGTTTGTAGATTCGGGGTTTAAAGATGCTGGGCTTGGGTTTGAAGGCTTAGGAGTTTAGGCCTAGGGAATATGGCTTGGTTGCTCCGGGCATTATGACATGAAGGTTTCGCAAGGTGTCAGAAATTGGGGCACAGACATGCAGGGCTGAGAGAGAGACTTCACACTTCAAGCCTGAACACCTCAGCGCTTCAACCCTGGCTATCAATGGGGGTTTCCGAAAATAGGGGACCCTGATATAGTACCCTAAATTGTAGGATCCTTATAAGGACCCCAAAATACGGTACCCCTTATTTTCGGAAACTCCCAAATCGAAACGTGTTTGCCCCAGGGTCGCAGCCGCCTTCCCTCGCATTCAACCACCGAGCCTTCAACACAAATCCATCTTTTCTATACAAAGCAAACATGGGTGGTGGTCAAAATTTTGGTCTCTTTTTGGGTCCTTATTATAATACGGCACCTATTATTTAGGGTACCCCAAAAGGGACCATAATTTTGACAACCACCCATATGGAAACTCCACATGCTTGGAACGGCTGAACTCCAAAGTACCCTCAACCCTGACCCGCCTAAGCACATGAAGACAGCGTAGTGCGTCAGCCCCTCTTAACCTTTCGTACTATTTACCCGGGCTTCTGGGGTAGCTTCACGACTATACGAGTACTGAGGCCTAAACCCGAAACCCTAAACCGACGTAGGTAACCTCTACCAGATCCGAGCCCGATGTCCTAAACCCTAACCCTTAGCCGCAAACCCTGAACTCTGCACACTGACCCCATAATGCCACCCCCCAAACATAGGCTTCAGATAACAGCCTCAACAATGAGAATGGGGCGTGGGGGTCCACGAAAAAGTCCTGAGGAAGAATGGTCTTATCAGTTGTTCAGGCCTTTCTACTACTAGTACTTTGTATTAGGCAGCCGGGGTTCCCCAAACCCTAAACCCCAAACCCTTAACCGCAAGCCTTAACATAGGGGCCTTAATAGTTAGAATAGGGTTTTGAGGCCCATTATACTAGAATCATAATAAGGAACCCTCCAAATAGTATTGGCAATCAAATACGCCCCTATATAAGGCCCTTAAAGGGTCAGCTAGGTGGCACCATGCCGAAGCGGGGACCACAAAGGCGGTTGCGGCGATCTTCCACCGAACGATGACACCAGAGCTCCTACTCTTCGAATAAGCTTCCTTTAAAGGGTTCTATAAGGGTTCCTCTAAAGGGTTCTATAAGTTAGTGGCCTTCGATAACAATTCGAAGAAAGCTTTGGGGGATTATATTCTAGTTGTACTGAGGAACCCCGGGGAATGATATGTTCAATCATTTTTTGGCTGCTTTAATATAATAATACGTTTTGCAGGGGCATTATTTGGGGGTTTGGGGGTTGAAGGATTCTAGGGTTTAGGGCTTTAGACTATTTCATGACGGGATAAATCCGGGAGGATGATAGGTCGGCAGTGGAGACTACAGTGAGCTCATTTCGCGAACCCACGGCCATGCTTACTACCAGTGATTCAGAAAGTCAGGGTTTAGAGCTTAGGGAATGCAGCCCTGGGATATCTGTTCTTTCCGAATGGATGAATCCCCTTGGCTCCTAAATGGGTCCCAGGGACACCCGAACCCTAAACCCTTAAGTACCCCTGTGTCACCACAGAACCGCCAATTGCCCTTGTTCAGACAGGGGTCTGCAAAAGGCTGTTCAAACCGTGTGAAAATAAAGCAATGACAAGTCTCTACTATAGGGGCCTTAATAATTAGAATAAGGTTTTGGGGTATACCATAATGTATTTATAATTATAGTAAGGAACGCACAAAAAATAGTCGGTAATTATTTAGGCCCCTACATTACTAGGCTTCTCTCGAAAAACCGACCTTTTGAGCTCCAAACCCTTCCTTCAGAGCCCAAGACACGCGCACACACACACACACATATATATATATATATATATATGTGTGTGTGTGTGTGTGTGTGTTTATACATACA